TTAAATTATTTTCACTCAAATTAATAAATTATTAGTATTCATAAAACTTAAATATGAAATTTTATTTTAAAAAAATTAAATTATTTTCACTCAAATTAATAAATTATTAGTATTAATTATTTTTAATAGTTAAATTAACTAAATTAATATTTTAAAATACAATATATAAAAAATGGTGTGACTTTAATGTGGCCATAACCATGGCCTGAAATCGCGTTATCTAATTCCTAATCTGGAAATGCTTCATAAATGCAATTTTCCTTTTGTTCAAAGCCATCAACTTCCAATTCCCAAGAAGAGACAAAGCCAGCACCCAGCCAGCCAGCCAGCCAGCCACCCAACCTACCCCACCCCACCCCACAGCCCTGATGGATGGTACAAAACTACAAATCTCCACTTCTCCAATTCTACAGTTCTCCACCCACTAGAAGTAATATTTTTCCGGGGTTGCTTGTGAAGACTCTCTTCCCAACAGTGTCTTTCTTGTGAACCCTGAATAAATGTCCTTTTTCACAAAAATTCAGCTGTCTTCCACGTTACTCTCTGCTTCGATTTCCAACTTTGGCCTTATTTGACCAAGTTAATTATTAGTACGTTAAAATTGAATTTTTATAATCAAAGATTTAGAGAAAATTCTTATATTCAACTAAGATATTATTAAAAAGTTTAAAGAAAGACTATATCAGAACAGTTTACTAAAAGTAAAAATAAAGTAATTATGGAATTATGATTATGTGTTATTATAAATGTATAATATATTATTATATAATTAATTTTTTAAAAATATATTTATAATATATTATATGTATTTATTTACTTACTTTTAAAAAATTAAAAAAAAATAAACAATACCATAATTTATATCTTAAAAATAAGATATTTTAAATTTTTAATATATATTTATTAAAATGATGTAATTTTAAAATAATATTTTTTTAATTTTTTTAAAAAATAAATAAATATTATTTTATTTAATATTATATTATAATTATAAAATTTTCCGTACTAAAAAGTTTGTAAAACAGTTCGGCTTCCCTGATTTTTCTTGATTTTGATAAGTTGCGTAAGGATATCTTGCTATGAGCTGTCATTTTTTTTTTCGTTGTAAAAAGTGTGACCTTTCCAAAAACGGGCGAGATTTCTGGCTGGTGCATATGATACATTGATATATTGTTCCTACTTCTCCTAACGTCATTAAAAAATACTAAAAACTTTCATTTCTTGCATTTTTTTCCTTTTACAAAATGATTATATGGGCCTTTAATTCATTTAATTTTAATATTTTATGAATATTTGTGAATCTCAACCACTATCATTTTTTTAACAATAATAAAATAATATATGAGAAAAGAAAAAATTAATATGTTTTGTTATTAAAAATGTTAAAATATTAAATTATAATTATTAAATTTATTATATAATTATTATTAAATATTTTGATTTTTTTAATAACAAAACGTCCTCTCTTTTTTTTTTATAGTATAGTGACAAAACATATTATAACTTGTAAAATTTATCAATTTGGAGTTGCTTACTTGAGTCACGTACATCGAGATAATGTGAGTCAAATACCTACGGTTGGGGAAAGGGGTTCATTTAAAGGAATTAATCTTTTTAAACAATAATAAAATAGTACAATAACAAAACATATCATAATTTTCAAAGCTAATTAATTTAAAACTAAAATAAAATTTCATATATATCACTTAATTTATATATACCAAGATAATAAGAGACAAACACGTCAATTGTGAGAACACCACCATTTATTTTTGGTAAAATCTCTAAACAAGTACTATACCTCCAAAAAAGGCAAAAAAAAATTTTAAAATAAATCAGGACAGCTAAATATGCTTCATCACAGAAGAAAACCTTGGCGGTGGAATCAAACATTAATGGAAAAGAGAGTTATAAATTGGGTGGTAGTTGCACCCTATTTATTAATACGGGAATTTAATTAAGGTTTTGGCTTTCCTTTTCCTTCCCCACTAATTGCCTTCCTTATATGTTGGCTCACGGCCACACACTTTTTCTTGCGGATTTTCATACTCTTTCCACTCAAAAACAATGGCAGCCATCAAAGCCACCACCATTGTACTCATCGCCGCCGTGTTTGTGCTAATGCTTAGCGGTGGTGCAAAGGGGCAGGCACCGGCACCTGAGCCGTCATCTGCCCTTGGCCCTTCTGCACCGGGTTCAGACTGCCTGACAACTGTGCTAAACATGTCGGACTGCCTGTCCTACGTGACCACCGGGAGCAACGAGACGAAGCCGGACAAGGCGTGCTGCCCTGAACTGGCGGGGCTGGTTGAGAGTGCCCCGATTTGTTTGTGTGATTTGCTGGATAAGAACAAGACTGAGAGCTACGGGATCAGTATTGACATGAGTAGGGCTCTCAAGCTTCCTACTGTTTGCGGTGTTCCTACTCCTCCCGTTAGTCTGTGCTCAGGTAAAAAATTTCTTGCTCTTTAATTTTTCATTTGTGAAAACTGGCATGAGGGTTTTACGTTTGGTGGTACTTATATTTTCAGTTGATAAACTTTTTTTTTTTGGCAAATTTCAAATTTTATTGGAATGATTTTTTTTTAGCATTAATTTGAAAAGCTAATTATAAGCAAGTTTTATGTTAAATTTTTTTTTTTTCCAACTTGGAACTTCTAGTAAAACTTGCTATGAGTTCTAAAAAATAAAATTTTGATTTCTTCCAAATAGTTTGAAATTTGTGAGAAAAAAATTACTTATAAATAATCAAAAATATAAAATTCACCAAACATGTATATCCCATCATCTTTTGATGAATTCTCATACATTTTGTGGTAAGATTAAAAATATGTTTTATATGGCTTGGCAACAAATAGATATATGTTTTCATCTTGTGTCTCAAATAAAAATAATTTATTATAAAATGTCACTTCACGTTTTATAAAAAATATTGTAGAAGAAAGCATTATACCTGTATCAACAATTTTTGTTTAAATTTATCATATAGAACAATATTATTATGTCTAACTTTGCGTCCTAAGTTTAGCAAAACCAAATTACCAAGTTACTTTTACTACAATGAAATATAAAAAGATAAGAAAATATTTTGCAATGTAAACTATACTAGGATAAAAACTACTACTAGTAATTAAATTAAAATAAATTATTTGACATTAAAAAAGGACTATTTATTCTATAATTGATATTTTTTTAGTCTAAATTGCACTCATAAAAAGAAAAATAAATATCGAAGTAAAAATTTCAGAGTTAAAGGACAGCATTTAAAAATTTTAAGAACTTTTGATGGAACTTCCTCCTAACATCCGCCCACCTTTGAAAGATCTACCAGACCTGCTTGTTTGGTTGCCCTTTATTTAAGGCCATTAATTGGCTGCTTGGTCTTGCGTCATCCATTCACGTGCACTTTCGTTCTGCTAAAGTCTTTGTTTTTGTCTTTTTCTGTCTCTCTGATAAAGTATATTTGCTATTATTAAAATTAGAAATTTTGTTTTATAATATAAATTATATTAAATTATAAAATAAATAAACTCTTAATATTAAAAAAATTATTTTTATTTAATAATTAATATAATACAATTATATACAGTTCAAAGGATGTTAATATTAAAAAAATTATTTTTATTTAATAATTAATATAATACAATTAAATACAATTCAAAGGATATTACACATTTTCTCAAATAATAAACCAAAATTCCCTTCTGCAGTTATTGCTGGAGTGCCAGTGGGAAGTCCAACAGCTTCACCAGGTAAATTGTTCCCACCTTTTTTTGCCCTTTTATTGATTTATAAGGAAAATTTATTCTTTTTATATCTAAGTAGTATTATGCATTTTTACCCAAATCCCCAAATTTGTTAAAAACATGTGTAAAATTACAGGTTCTGCTCCGGAGGGATTATCTTCCAGCCCTTCAGCTGCCGGAAGCAATGGAGTTTCTTCAAATGCTCAAGTCTCAGCTCTAGCTTCCTTTCTAGCCTTAGCAATTGCATTTCTTCACTCATTTATTGGCATTTGAATTCTTTTTCCTGTTGTTCCTTAGATTTCTCCCCATGGATGTCTGTTAGACCATGTATAATTAGTAACAGTAATAAGGGAGTGGATGACATGTTCTACTGATTTATTCCATCAGAAACCCACCATTGTTATTTTATTAATTATACATTCTTTTAAAATTATTCATTTGTGTTTAACGTTTTTGGAATGCCACAAGGATGAAGCTACATATAAATATAATAATAGTATAATTATGCAAGATTAGGTGATTAAAAATGAAACCATCATTTTTTCACAGTTAAGTACAATACACAATCCATGAAAAATATGGAGAAAACTTGCCACTTACAAGAGAGTATGTAATTATGTATTATGATTTGAATTATATCATATTGCAAAATAAAGATAATTAGATAGAAGATGATCTCTAATATTAATGAACTTACTTCTAATTTAATAATTAATGTAATGCAATCCGATATTATCCAAACTGCATTAGAAATTGCACTGTATTTTTTTAATTTAGGGGAATATAACCCACAATCAGAGTAAAATTTTTATTGGGTTGGTAGAATATGTCAGTTGTAAAAGGTAGTTCATGTTTGGTTTTTTGTTAGGCCCAAACTCATAATACTGCCCCGATTTGGGATTCTCATTTGATCAAGTGCATTACAACCACCATCATTGTGGCCCAAACTTGGTCCTGGTCAGGCTGTATTCAGCCCATTGTGTCATACTCGTTGATTATTGATATGAGGATTAAGAAGAAATGGTTATGGATCATAAGAAGAGAGTGCAGTTTTTCACTTTGGACCAGTAAAAAGATTGACAATTTGGATTTAAATCCACAAAAATATACCGCTAATAAATCTTCATCTTTTCCTAATTAGTTAAAGATATTTACTCGCACTTGGGCCTACGGGCCCAATGACGTTAAGTCACATTTAAGTGACGTTAAGTCACATTTAAGTGTATTTCCCTTACTTGGGCAACGATTCGAATCTAACCTCTTGCAAAATTGTTTAAAAAAAAAAAAGTTGAAGACATTTACTTATGTTATTTTTAGTCAAAATTGATAATTTGTCAATCCAAACTACATATTTAAAAAAATAATAATATGAGAAATTCAAACCATGAATCCACAAAATTATTTTTTTCTTTTTAAAAAAATACATATTAGTTCTAACTTTTGTTAAAAAAAAAATTAGAGTTTAACTTAAAAAACACTACCCTTAAATAAATATTTTTAAAAACTAATTGTTAAATTTTATATTCTATCGATATAGATTATGCATGTCAATTTTTAAGTTAATTTAATATCTATAATCATTCTATCAAAAAACTTGTACTTTTTAATATATATTTAACGATGGTAAATTTTTTGTAATCAATGAACTAGTTATATATATTTAATTAATTTAAAAATTATCATGTATAATCTACATAAATAAAAGACTAAATTTAACAATTTTTTTTTTTATCTTGGTTGCATAATGGGAGGCAACCATCTTTTATACTTTATCACACCTCACCTGCATGTTATGTAACTCGAACTCAAGACCTCATCTTACTTCCAACGGAAAGAGATAACCATTGAATTATTTAGGTCGTTAGCACTAAATTTAACAATTAGATTTTAAAAATATTTATTAAAAGGTAGTGTTTTTGAAGTTGAGATTTTAATTTTTTAAGAATCAAGACTAATTAATATTTATCAAAACTTAAATACTTTAATAAAAAATAAAATAATATATTTTATAAATTAAATTTATTGTCTTATTATAGATTTGGTCAAATAGTAGTTATAAGTTAATTGTCCTACTTAAAAACATATTATTTCATAATAATTGCTAAATTTATTTCTATAATTAACTTACAAATGAAAATTACAAGATTAAAAATCCTATAAATAGGATATGTTACTCTTCTCTAAGCGAATTCCTCTACATTCTTCCAATTTCTTATATATTACTGTATTTGCTAAATATTCTATAGCAAAGAAAAGTATTTTAAATTAAGTAACTTTATGAGTGGTACAAATCTATAAAATGTTGTTTTAAAGTTGTAGCATAATGGGGCAACATACTATATATATAATATATTTTCTATTGTGGTGGATCTACTCTTCACAAAGGTGTAAAACATTTTAAATATGCATATTTTACTAATATTTTTTTATTAA